TACGCGCCGTTAGTCTGAAGACTAACTTGTATTAGGATATTGACCGACAGGTTTGGATTGACCAGCTACTTAGTTCATGTGTAAATAACGCAAAAAGTATTCTTGAATTTTGTCAACAAGTAAAAAAAAAAAAATCTATTGTAGAATTCAAAGAAAATAACATATTCTTATTTAGGCTTATCCATCACTTCATATTGGTAATATTATTCGATTAGATGCTATATTAACATTTGAAAATTGGTGTGAATTAATATCACCAATTGATAAAAATGGTGATAATATTCATCGTTGTAAACAAGGTAGTGGTACTGAAGAAATGGTACAACCATTTCGTTGTTTATATAAAAATTCAAAACGTGAAGAAATTATTTTGCCAACAATTGATTGTTCAATTCATAGTATTATTGGTACAGGTGAATGTTTACGTGCTGAAAAATGGCAACAATTAGCTTCAATTGAATGTGCTAATAAAAGTATGAATTTAAATAATTCCATAATGACACTTGATTGGTGTGATCTATCATCATTTCGTGGTATTGAATTTGTTTGTTGTCCAACAAATAGAATTGATGATAATGATTATGAAACAAGTCTTGATGAACAAGATAATAATCTTATAGAAGATAATCCAATTCAAGAACCTATACAATCATCACATCGTCGAATTATAGCTATGACAATTGCAACACGTAAAACAAAAATTCTAAGAAGAATTTATATAAATATTTTTTTTATCTAGGTGAACCAAGTTGGATGGAAGATTATCGTCGATGGAATACAGATTCTGCATATTTTGCTGGTAATTTATATCAGTTATTTCTTTGCTTTTGCTTTTATTGCATCGTTTGTTTTATTTAAAAATATAGATGATGAAGATACTAATGATTATCAACCATCACCTATTCCAAAATCTAATGAAAATCAACGATTTTCAAAAGATAAAGAAGAATTTAAAAGAAAATATAAAGAACAAATTGATCAAGTATGATATCAATATTAAATATTGACTTTTTCTTTTTGTTAAAAATCTTAATTACATTTTAGTTAAAATCTCGTTGGCAAATACGTCAAAATGAAATTCAATTATTAGTTAATCGTAATGTAACTGAAGCACAAAAACAATATGAAATAAGTGAAATTCAATTTCGACAAGAATATGAAATTTTAAAAAAATCAGCTAGTCGAGAACGAACACGTATGAATGAATTACATGAAATACATTTAGATTCTGTACTTAATCAACTTAAAACTGAAGCAAATAAAAAACTACTTGATATATGGAATGAAAAACCACTTAAGGTATTAATAATATACACAAAAATATTATTAACTGTTGATTATTACGTCATCATTTACATATTCATCAACAGTTTGCTTATCTATCTATCAGAAAGATACATAAAAAAAAGGTCGATTGTATCTGTCTTATGTATATGTGAATATTTGACAAGCGAGTGAAAGAAAGAAACATATGTTTATGAAACAGGGATAGATTATTAATGGTGATAGTGTTCATACTTGAGAATAGAAAAAAGGTTACTTATTAAGTGCGTAAATGAGCAAATATGACAGAACGGAAGAGAAAAAAAAATGCGAACGTGTTTGTTGAACTGAATATCCGTTATGAAGTATACGTACTTGAGAATATGATACTTGTCGAGTTGCTTTTTGCAACCTTTCTATTCATTGGAGCGATAAAAAAATTAATTTGTTCTATTCACATAGCAATCAACGAAGAAAAAAAAAGAAGATATTTTTTGCCTTTTTGTTTTTGGAATATTTTTTAAAAATTTAATTTTTTATTTATCAATTGCAGACAGAAAATGTTGAAAAAGCACTTTATAATTATCTTCAAATTTTGTTACGTGATCGTATACATCTTGTTAATCGTTATGAACGTTTACGTGCTGTTGATCCTGAACAAGCCGAACGTAAACGAATGTCTATTCATGAACGATTGCGTTTAATTGTTGATCGAATCAATGATGCATTAAACCAACTTCGATTATATCCGAATCTTCAATCAAAAATTCAACCTCGACTTGGTAAGAAAATAAAATCATTCTAAATCTGTCATAAAACATCTGAATATGTGTCATTTGAAGTAAAACGAGACATGTTCATCTTTCATTTAACAAAGATTATTTTTCTCAATTAAGTCTTATAGTATAAGAGAAATTCAGAATAGAGTCTACAGTCTAAGCTGTATCTTGGATATAAATTTTCAGCAAGATCGAACTCTAAAAATCAATTTTCGAGAGATTCTATCAGGTTCTGAAACAAAAATTTTTGTCTTATTATCATTATCTAGAAATTTTGAAGAAAGATTTTTATCATTCGTATGTCCATATTGTGTGTCACGTCACTAACGAATGATTGTATGCATATGTTTTTATTTTAGATACTCTCTTCTTTGAATATGATGAAGTTAATCAAGCAGCTGAAAAATTATTAATTGATTATACAGCTACATCATCAACAACGCCTGTAACATCAACAACAAAGAAGCATCGTATTTTACCATTAGGTCGTGATGAAAATAAAATCTATCCATTTTCAACTTCTTCAACAACAAATTCTTATGATAATAATGATGAGTATGATTATGCTACGAATGATGAATACGATGAAGAAGATGATGAAACAGATAAAAAGTCTTCTATACCTCCAACAACTACTGGTATTGATATTATAAATTATGATCAAATTGATGCTGGTGATAGTGATTGGGATATAAATAATGATGATACTGAATCAGTATTTGATATTAAAATTGATGATCAAAATCAACAAGCATTTATTAATGAAGTAGAATTTAAAGAAAAAAAAAATCTTATTTTTATTTTTTATTTTTTCTAGAACGATATTCGTACATTAATGCCAGCGAAACGTATTCCACGTAATATATTAATAACATATCTTCCATATGTATTTGGATGTTTACTTATTTTATGTATGATTATTGGCATATTTATCTTTCGTTTTATTAAACAAAATCATTCATATGGAAATAAATATGAAAAAAAATATGTTTTTACTGAAGTTGAGTCATATACACCAGAAGAAAAAACTTTACATACACTACAAATGAATGGTTATGAAAATCCAACATATAAATTTTTTGAAAGTCAAACACCAAAATGTTAAAAATTCTTTTTGTCTCCATATTGTCATCGATGTTGTTTTTTCTTCTTCTCAGGGTTTATTTGTATACTCATTTATTCATATATATTATATATAAATGTATATGTAGAGATTCTCTCTTCGGCTATTGACACAGATAACCTACAATATTCGCATTTTTCTCTCTCTCTCCTTTTTTTTGGTAGATTGCACGATTCTATGGTTTGTTTGTTTGTTTTTTTTTTGATCTCTTGTAATATACAGATGACACGTATCTCAACCTTTTGTGTGCCTGTAATTAATTGTCGTAGTTTTTCTTTCCTAATAAATTATTAAAAAAAAAACAATATGTAGTATCTTGATTAATCAATGAATATAGATACAAATAGAAAGTTGTTTTTTTTGGTTAATTATCGAGTCTAATTGTGTCCTTGGTTTTCTTCTAGACGTATTTAACATGTGTAGAAGAGATAAGAGTATTGTTTACATTTGATATTTGTCTACTTAGAATTGTAAATGGAATGATGAATTCGATATTTTATTAACGAGGACGATCATGATTGAGAGATACTTTTCGTTCATTTTTGTTGAAGAAAAAAAAAAATTCCGGAAGGAAAGAATAATCGCTTCTTGATCTTTTTTTTTTATATCAGCCACTATCGGAAATCAATGAAAAGACAATGTTTAATCTCTAATAGTGAATGCGAACGTAAATAGTTGATTTATGAATCAACCAAATAACTTTGCTTTATTTCAGGATAATAGAATTATTAATCTAGCTATCCGTATTTGCGAGAATACAAGTTCTGCGTTGGTCAAAATCAACGAATGATGCAACTGTGACGAATGTAGGATTGATGAAATTTAATCAACAATGATTTTTAAAAAAAGGCACACTATGTATCTTGATTCAGTACATCTCGGAATCTATATTAAGTAGAACAAACCATAGGAGAATAGTAGTTCCCAATGGGAATGATATTTACAATGAATTATTCAAGTAAGATGACTGACTGACTGACAGACAGACAGAACAATTGTATTTGTTTTAATCATCAATATTAATATACTTCAATCAATATTCCTATGTTTACAATTGAAATTCAAATATTTTTGATTTATTATACGAATAAATCATATTTAATTTAAAACAAAGATCTTTTTTGTATATCTCAAATTTTTTATGATATATTCGTAACACTTTTTTCTTTCTAAATGATAAAATACAAGTGATAGCATTGATTTATTTTCTATACAAAAGAAAAACTCAATGATGATAACAGATAAATAAGTTTGCATGATAAGATTTTTCCAATGGAAAACATTTTTTTTTCCTTTTATTATGACTAACTACATAACTTGATATCTATCCCATAAGGTTAATAAAGATCGTTAATTAAATTCAAGTCAAAGAATATTCATAACATGCAACCGTTAAATATATCATGTTCGAATTATTACTATCCTGTCAATATTCATTTCCGTTTTTTTTTGTTTATTGTCTTTTCATTTTGTTCTCTTTTGTATTCTAAATCACAAAGCATGCTATTATAGATCTGAATAAAGGGACTATGCTTATTCTGACACTGCTATTGTATACATACTTCTCTTTTTCTATCTATAGTGAACAATTGATTTATTGTTGATAAGAAGAATGAAAGAAACTCACTATGTTGACTAAAATTGAGCCCAGAACGAGACACAATAATTCGTTCTGTAGTCTTATCTACTTTTCCCTATGAGCCAAATGAATTGTTGATTAAAAATTGATGGTTGACCTATTCAGTTAAATCGAATAACATTTCTTCGATATTGAATTGAAAGTAAAGGTGCATCGAAGAATAAAAATAATAATCATAAGTTTACTGTAAAAAAGAAGATCTACTAACTCGTTTTATACTTAAGCCTTTGACGATGAAGTCCGTAAATTTACGTTTTCAAAAATTTAGATAGATATAGTAAAACAGATCATTTTCGATATTTGTTGTGTTCTAACATAGATATCACTGGTAACAGCATTGCATCTTTAAATTAAGGTTACATGTAAGAATTATGATTGCCAATAGCTTTCAAAGTATATCATTTGAACAATAGATTTTTACTTTGTTTGTTCTAAAAATAAGTCCATCGTTCAACGATTAAGTATGATGATTAACAGACGTAAAATAATAACTGGATGTGCGGATGCAATTACATCAGATATCGATTAAAAATCAATTCAAATCAATCAGATTATTTTAATCAATCGTATGCAAAATTTACTCTATTTCTCTGTAAGACTTCGGTATATATAAAGCGCTTTTGTAATTGTTAGGTTAACACGTTGTACTCATCCCATGTATATCTTCTACTCTTGAAAATAGTCAGTTTCATTGTATTATTACTTTTAGAAATCGATTAAATATGACTAAATCAAACTACAACCGAGAGATTTTCTAATAATTAATTTTCAATCCATTAACTGGATTTTTCTTGATTGAAACTTTAATCAATAAGAAAATTGAAGTTGAATTTTTGATTACAGCAAAAATAGCAACAGATATAATCTTTAGTAATCGAATTGAAATCCATCAAGTCGATTTTTGTTGACTGAGGTTTCAATCAATTAAAAAAGAAAAAAATCGATTGACTACATTTTCTTTTCAATCGATTTTAGGAATATAATAAATTTTAATACGATATGCTGCAAAAAGTGTGTGGCTGAGGAAAAAATTGAGATTTATGTATTGGTAATCAAAAATAATCCTAATTTTTATGGGAGTATGTTAACTGAGTTAGCACGTTTTCAAGTTATGAATAAACGAGAATAGCAACCTTCTTTACATCCTTTTTGTGCAGAAATGAAAGAAAATATTTCAGTATCGTCTCACTTACGATATTCGACGAAGTTAGGCACGAAAAACGATCTTTTCTCTAATTCTTTTAAAGTCATGATTAAGCAAAGTAACGATTCACTTTTTTCAATCCGATACGGAACTTTATTCATCAGAATTTTGCTCGATCACTCTTAAGATTCTGATAAATGTCTTCAATTTTATTGAGATGATCAGCAACCTCAGAATGACCATTGAGATAATGTTTCTCGAATTTTGAGTGCCTGTTAAAACAAGTCCTAGGCTTAACGATAAGTAAAGCTGAATTTCTTTGGCTAAAAATCCTGATGCCGTCGCTGACTGAAACTATCTATGACATTGATCTACCCAGTCAGACATGCGTTGAAAAAAACGGCGTTTTTACGCGTAAAAAGCGCACAGTTTTACGAAAAAAAAACCGTTTATTTTTCGACAAAGAAAGGTTTTTACAACGTTGACAGAGGCGGCGGAAGAATTTTTGTGAATGTTAGATCTAAGCTTCAGAGCATGGGACTCAAATGAAACTTATGGAGGATGATATTGGACTCAAATGATGAGGTTGTATGAAAAAAATTTTCCGATTGGAGTTTGCGAAAAAAAAAATTTTTTTCCTGAGCCTCACCTGGATTTTTCTCTTCCTGTTATTAGTGTTCCGTTTTTTAGAATTTAATAGTAAGCTACATCGAATTTCATCGATAGATTTCAAATTTCATCTAAAAATATGCATCCGTTCACGAGTTATAACGTTTTGAGGTTTTGCTAAAATTTCAGCAACATGTAGCAAATTTTTAAAACGTTATAACTCCTGAACGGTTGCATATTTTTAGATGAAATTTGAAATCTATCGATGAAATTCGATGTAGCTTACTATTAAATTCTAAAAAACGAAACATTAATAACAGGAAAAGAAAAATCTAGGTGAGGCTCAGGAAAAAGATTTTTTTTTTCGCAAACTCCAATCGGAAAATTTTTCTCATAAAACCTCATCATTTGAGTCCTATATCATCCTCCATAAATTTCATTTGGGTCCCATGCTCTGAAGCTTAGATCCAGCATTCACTAAATTCTTCCGCCGCCCCTCAACGTTGACACTCACCAGCTTGCTTCATTTTCCCCAAAAACGACTAATTTCGTAAAACGTAAAAATGTGCGCTTTTTACGCGTAAAAACGCCGTTTTTTTCAACGCATGTCTGACTGGGTACAGTATCGCAGTGTTATCGATGCTATTCAACGATAATTTATTCGAATTAGAAAATATACACATTTAAAATTCGTTTAATTGTATGCATTGTCATCTCTGCCGCGCTCTGAAAATTCTGTCTGTATTCGCGTACTAGGTCATTATCTCCTTCAGCAAATTTGATTGCCTGATCGTAATAGCACATTGCCAACCAGTAATGTTTCTTTCTATCATGAATTTCGCCAATATCATTCAGAAGTTGAGCGATAACATGCTGATCGACTTTGAAATTTTTTTCAAGCAAATGCATCCAAATATGCAATGCTTTGTCATATGAGCTGAGTGCTTGAGAAAAGGCTTTTTCTGATTCGTGTATTTGTCCAATACTATGATGGGCTAAGGCTGTTTGACTCAAAAAGTTATCATCCGTTGATGCCAATGATAAAATTTCAATGAAACATGCGAGTGCTGATTCATTCTGGTCGAGTTCCATGAGCGAACGACCTTTTTTGTACAGAGTTTCAATCATAACACTGCTGACTATAGAAGTTAATTGTATTTGTCGATAAGCATTGAGAGCATCGGAAAAATATTGAATAGCCTCTGAATGCTTTTCTGTCTGAGCATAGATACAACCAACGTTATAATAGGTCATTCCAATCGAAGTACTCTCTATTGGCAAAATTTTAATCGAGTCAAGAGATTTTTGACAATAGACCAATGCATTGGTATAATCTCGTTTATCTGCATAGGTAAGGATAAGATTGTTAAGTGTGGCTACCAAGTCTGGGTCGTCAAGTGATCTCAATTTAAGTGATAACTCGTGATAACGAATAGATTTGTCATACTTTTGTCGATGCCTATAGATACAAGCCATATTATTATAAACTTTAGCTTTATCTTCTGGAAACATTTTGAATTTTAGTGCTTGGAAATAGACATTCAATGCTTCGTTATCTTTCTCTATCGCTTGATAACTAGCACCCATACTCGCATATACACACGCTTGATCACCATGATTACCAGGTAAGACTTGAAGAGCCCGTCGAAAAAATTCAATGGCTTCTTTGTGCCTATTTTGTTTGTGTAAAAGTATACCGAGATTGTTCAAGATTGTACCTATGTCAGGATGATCGACTGGTAAATCGTGAAGAAGTAGTCGAAAATATCGTTCGGATCGATACAGATCACCCATATCACCTAGAAAAATCAAACTAAATTCACCATACACAATGACAAGAAAACTCACCAAGAAAACGTCCGAGAACCATTAGTGTTGATTGATTATCCATCTGTTCTTTCAAATAACGAATCATCGAACTCAATCGTTCATCTATTTCATCATTCCAAGTCAAATCCACATGCCAAACTCTGGTCTCTTTATTTTCGTTGATTTGATCAATTCGAAAAATGCTACCCATAGCTATGAGTGTTTCATTTTCGTCTGGCACTAAACTCATATGTCTAATATTGACTATCGGTAATTTACTATGTTCCAAATTGAGAATAAATCGAAAAATGACTGGAAACTCGTTCGGATTGGTATTTGAATTGCATCCGGCCAAGGTTGAAGCAACATCGGGTTCATAAGTTGTCGATAGAAAACTATTGAAAGCAATCAAATTTCTGTTTTTACTGTTCTTCAACAATGCATTAAAATCGTGCTGATACATCAATTGACCTCGATAGACAGTGACAAATTCAAGCATTTCACGTTGCACTTGATGTTCATTCTCTAATTGATGATATAAATCTTGAAGAAAATATCGAAGCTTGAATATATTATCAATATTCTGCGTACGAAATGCTCGATTGAGTACTTGAAAGAGAAATCCTGGTTTAGTATACCATCGAATGGCATCCGTTGACTTATATTCGACAATAAACTGATTAATTTGTTGTTGCTGAACAGCATTGCCTTTGAAATAGATGCGCAAGAAATCGACCATCTCTTCTTTATCGTTGAGTTTTTGGGGAAGTTGACGAATAACATCGATCAGTAGTTGATGCCAAACAAATGTCGCTGATTGATGATCGGAACAAAGATCACGCAAGGATTTTTCCGTTGTCAAGATGTTTGAAGTAAAATAAGTCATAGCAGGAGGAATACCTTGTTCAAGTTCAATATCACGTACTAATGAAATGAATAGATTTCGACTACTTTGGGTGAAATATCGGACATATTTGATATCCAATGATAGTGGTTGTTCGTTCTTTTGATCGTACAGATAGATATGAGCGATCTGTGGCCAATTCGATAATAGTTGGGCCATGTAAGCTGTTTGAAGATCAAAAAGAATGAGATAAACTCTAATGTTTTGTTTCGGCAAATTGCATAAGAAGTCGAGACATGTATCAGGCTCATGATAGATTTGGAAGTTACTGAACATGTCCAAGAGATGCTTTTTCACTTCGTCATAATCCGGATTGATACCGATTTCCAATCCAATCACATACTGATATTGATACTCGTCATACAAGGACATTATTTATCGTTCTTCTATTCAACAAAACTGAAAAAATTTCTCTTTCCTTAGTACTGCAAATAACAGAACATCTGTCCTCGACCAAGAATAATTTTTTCATTAGAATCTTTTGTTGCAAGGCTCATATGCGTTCACAACAATATATAAATTTATTTTGTACATGTTGTGAGAAAGATTATATTTACACATGAACTAGGCGAAATGGAGAAACAATCTACCTACTTACATTAACTTCAAACGATATTTTGGAAGCTTGAATCTATTGTGGGAAAAAGCAGAAATAATTCAATAAAGTTTTATTTCTATTTGCGAAAGAACGTCATATTTGTTGATTCAATGATAAGAGCAGCAAAAAATACCCACGTTGATGATTACAAAGAATCTTTTTCCTTTTCTCCATTGTGCTGCTGTTTATCTCACTATTTGTCATGTATTTGAGTTAATACGTAATTTTAGGAAAAATATCGTAATATCAATTGCGTAATACACTAAGGTCAAGGTCAATAACTTATTTATTGACTGGAAGAACGAAACAAAGAAACAAGATAAACGAAACGAGCAAGAATATCATGATGACTCATTCTATGAAGTTAAAGAATAGAAAGAAAACAAATGAAATATAGTAACAATAATAATTATTGTCAATATGTCACACTATTTAGCCCCGTTTATGTCAACAATTTGCAAATCTAGTTAGAAAAAGTTCATGAGATACTTGATATGGGCACGAGTTTTATTATGTCGCTTGCAGAGTGAGAAAAGCTCTTTTTGGCAGCGATACAGTAGTTTAACCATGGCCATATCCCGTTCAGAAATCACTAGAGAATGGAAGTGGGTGGTAGGGCCCATCGGATCCAGGAATTTATTGACCCGGGCTCGAATCTGGGCCTAGGTATGACCCGATAGGCTCTAGTGGATGTTTAGGTGTTGGTGTGTGTTGTTCTTCTTCAATCACACACACTCTGTTCGAAAAATGCTCCGAGCAATTTACAGACTGGTTCTCACTTTTGAGATTTTTTCTTGAAATCTATTTCTTTGATAAATTTTTTGTACTGGTTTACATTCTATGAGTGTGTACGGATAAATCAATTTGAAAACAGATCAAACTATTTCTTGACGAAGAAAACAAGCTCAATCTGCTAGTCTCAACTTTTGCTTTTTATCAATTGACTAAGTTGAAAGTTAAATAATAATACAATCATAAGTAAATGTGCTTCGATTAGAATAATGGAAAGAAATGCAGAGTTAATTTTGCTAACGTGTTTTGCGTTATTTATGTAAATAATGAATACTCTTTAGGGCTCTGCATTATATTTTCAAGCACGTAGGTGAAGTTAGCCTCATATTCGAGTAAATCCAGCCAAGATTCGGCGCCAGAGCTGCCCTACCTGCGCCAGACAGCGCCAATATGCAACTCGACGAGCTCTATCCAATGGTGACTTTGGATTTTTCGTAGCTTTGACCAATCGTGCAAAAATCCCAAAATCCTAGGATTTTCCCAGGCAAATTTTACCTTTTAGATAGTAAATCCAGCCAAGATTCGGCGCCAGAGCTGCCCTAGCTGCGCCAAACGACGCCAATATGCAACTCGACGAGCTCTATCCAATGGTGACTTTGGATTTTTTGTAGCTTTAACCAATCGTGCAAAAATCTCAAAATTCTAGGTATTTTCCAGGCAAATATCACTTTATGGGTAGTAAATCCAGCCAAGATTCGGCGCCAGAGCTGCCCTACCTGCGCCAGACAGCGCCACTATGCAACTCGACGAGCTCTATCCAATGGTGACTTTGGATTTTTCGTAGCTTTAACCAATCGTGCAAAAATCTCAAAACCCTAGCTACGAAAAATCCAAAGTCACCACTGGATAGAGCTCGTCGAGGTGCATACTGGCGCTGTCTGGCGCAGCTAGGGCAGCTCTGGCGCCGAATCTTGGCTGGATTTACTANCTACGCTAGAAGGGCGTTGAAATTGCCTTTGTGTCGAGACCAAGAAAATGAAGATAAATAGAAGACTACTCCTGCCTAAAGCATTTTTGGTACTTCTGATATCGATATTCGTGATCAGCGAGGTGGATTACATATTATCAAGTGGGTTTGGAAAAAATTGGAAAAAAAAAGTTTTCTAGAAATCCTGTGGGGGACCTCAGGCGTAAAAAATCTGACAGAGAGATTTCGCTAAACTAAGTATCTTGAAATGCTCCCAAGTGTCCCTTAACATAGTTTCAATGCAAAAAACCCGAACATTTTTTGGGCCAGGAAAGGGTCTTATCCGCCCTCATCCTTTGTCTATTGACTTGATTATATGATCTATGAAGCAAATAGAAAAATCCGAGTTAGCATGTATTCTAGAACAGATTATGTCACATGGAAACTCTTTTAAATCATTTTCATGAGTATTGTTACTCATCTTATTGATGAAAATGGTGTGAAAATAAGCATTAGGTTTTATTAATTAGACAACACAACGATGATCAGTTAGTTATAATTGTTGCTATTAATTATGAAACAACTACATGACGCGGTAATGCTAATCTTTGAGGGCCAACAACGCGTGTTTGTCGTCGACAATATTGAACTATTTTTTTAATTTGTTTTCTAAGTTCAGGCATCGATATAGTACACACAAAGGGTAATAAAAGATTGCCGTAATTTTCAAAGAATTCTGCATATAACGTAAAATCGGCACCAACTTCTTCAGAAATGCCACAAAGATGAATGAATTCCAATAACACATTTGGAATGTATATGAAAAGATACAGAACTGAAATTGATAATACTTGAATCGTTATCTTTCGATGATGCCGCCATCGAATTTGTTGATGTATTCGGTATTTTTGATAGAAGACACGGAAAAGAAGAGCAATACTGCAGAAAATAATAACTATTGTAGGTATTATATCATTCACTATAACGTCCCACATTGCTACTGATGGAATGTCATAAAAACAAATAGGATTACCACATGTAATTTGATTGTAATCATATGTGTTTTCACATGGTGGGAAAATAACTATGATAATGCTGTAACAGATGCAATAGAGAAGAATTATAGCCACTGGTAAATAATGAAAAAAAATCAGTTTATATTTTGTTGATAATAAGTGATCATGAAAGATAAGAATATGCCGTTCAATGGTTGCCCAAGCAAATAGAATTGCTGTTGTAATATAGAAAGCTTCATCAATAAAAGTCCATGTAACACAAAAGAAAGAATTTTTTGGCCAAATATTTCCTAAACGATAATAATTAAGACTCCATAGGATACTTGTTAGTTGAAAAATAAAATTGATGAAAAGAAGAACAGCAATAACATGATTATGTAGAGCCGGACGTAATGTTGGATGGACAATAAAATGATAGAAAATGAACAGAGAACAAATAATCGATGGAATACAAAAGAGAAGAATAATCCAAAAACGCAGCAGTCGAGGAATGGCGATTTCAAAAAGTAATACCGTTGTATCCTCGTAAGAACTGTTGTCTTCACTTAACATTTTTTTTGCTATAAAAGTTAAATCACAACGAAGAAGAAAAACACGTCAAAATGAAAAGAAAAAAGTATTATTTACAGATATTCTTTTTTTTTCTCTTTTTGTTTTTATTATATGTTCTTTATTATATTTTTCAACGTAGGAAGTTGGATAGAACCTTTGGCGGTGTGCGCATCATTGTATGCAACACTAAACATTCTGAATCAGCTATTAATATGTATTCAATATACAAAATATTAATTTTATTCTCATCATGAAAGTAATATCAAGAAACGGCATCAACTTAGACGCTTGCATTTTTTTTTGTCGCATGCAGGCTTAGGGTTTATCAACTTCATAGAGAACAGTACTAACAACGGAAGGCATAGAATTGATTAATCGTTTTTAAAATTTTAGTGAGACCAATTTGCAGAGCTTGTTGAGTTATTAACTGACACAATAATCATTCGAGGAAACGGCACGTTGAAGGGTAAATCTCTGATAATCAAAGTTTACATTAGCCTGTCCACAAATAGTTATAGAAAAGAAGAAGCAATGAGAACTGTAGCCATCAGGATCGAATCTAACGCATTTTGCATGCAAAATAAGCTAGAGCATGTAGAAAAAGCATTAAAATTGTATCATGTTTTCATGATAATATGTATAACTAAAGGACAGTTTCAACTATTTCTTGGTACACATTGTCTGAATACGTACCACAGCGATGTTTTCTTTTGAGTTTCTTTGATTTTGTATTTTTCGTCTATTGACAGACAAAAAAAACGTTCTCTACAACAATAAATAGTAACTAATAATAATAATATGACTGATAAAAATGATGAAAATATAAAACTCTTTTACAATTAACCAATGCGCATTTTATAAATGGGCTTTCTTCACACAAACAACAAGTCAAATAAATATTGTGAAAACAAACTTCATTGACAGTTTGAAATGTTTCATAGTACTCTAAAAAGTAACCAGCTTTAATCCAAGCATATTTCCAAATAAGTGCGAATACATTTGATGTTAATTGATTATAAATTAGTGACTCTAACTTTATTATTTCTTGACATGATCTTACATCATAATTTAATTCATCAAGAGCCACTCTATGGTAACATCTCTTTGCAAAATTTTTCTATTGTCTGAAAACAAAAACATGCAAAGGTTGATGCATTGATGTACATTTTTCTGGAGTCTATAATCTTATAAAATCTTTTCGAAAGCACTGAGTAAACTTATCCAGCTGAAATTTAACCGCAAATGTAGCATGGATAAATGCAATTTTTGAGAAAATTTTCTTTAATATTTCATC